AGTATACAAGTACAATCACCAATTCAAACTTTATGCGCCATGCACTAGCGCATCATTTAGCACTGTAGAAGTAATGGATGCCATTCTATTCAGGTACCGGCAGAAGTACCACCTCTCTCACAGAAAATCAACGGATGCGGTCCATGAACAGACCTCCAGGTGAGAGACGGTTCCTCGTAAGAAACAGTCATATCACAACCTTACCAAACACCTAATGCGTCATTTCCAAGTTCAAAACAGAGCTTATATGGAGCAAAGGGTTACTGCTGCGCAATAAACAGTAATGGCTGTAGGTTCAATTCCTATTGAAGATCCCCTGTATGAGGTGATTGTACTGAGATTAACTTGATAAAGCTTCAGGGTCACCAAAATACGCAGTAATTATCACAAATATCTAGTTGTAGCTTGACCTTACAAGCGCATGCAGTTTTGGAAGACAGTTGAGAACATGGCGCAAACCAAAAAGGTTATTTTTAAGAGTAACAGAGCTTCTGTTTGACTGTAACGTATCAAGAGATAGATCCCAATTTGAACGTTTTCACCTTCAAATTTGGCTTAAGATAGGAAATGGGAAAAGCCATAAACCAAAAATCTTGAAAATATATTACGAAGCTAAAATCATCAGTAGCAATGGTGCTTTCCATAATTCAAATAGGTTAGTAACAGTATAAAACTTACTGAAAATCATCAATCGCTCGTCTCATAAATGCCACACAATCTGGCCAATTCTTATCCGTATACTCCCATTTTCCATACTGATAGAGTTGCTCGAATGTTAACTTCGGATCATCAGGAGTACTACTAACCGGTCGATCGATAATAGTCGAATAGGTGAGCAATAGCCAGTACAGAAATGTGCCGGCCATGCCAGACGATGACTATGGCGACGGCGTTGTTGGTGGTGGAAGTAGTGTAAGCTTCGAGAAATGGCGTAGAGTGTACGAACGCGAAGAGCAGAGGGCCAGGCGTGGCCCTTTGCCAGACATCCTCCCTCCCTCTGCCTGTCCTTGCCGGCTGACCTCTCCAAGTGTCCGAAAGCTGTTGGCGTTCGACCTTTAAGCCGTATGAGATTCTCTTTGGGAAGAAAAAGGTGAAAAGACGAACTGAAGATCGAGCGGAATTGTGTAGGATCTGCTATAATCTGGTCCTTGCAGGGTACGCCATGCATGTGAATATTATTGATGATCGCACCAATATTGGAACAGATCTACAGTTTCTGCCTAGCACTTGATGATTCTATTAGGTTCCAGGATTAACCCGTGTGGTTTTTGCTTCACCTCATTCTCTAGGATTGCCCATTTTACTGGAGCACGATACCTCAATGCACAATCCTCTGAATGCCGCCAGCCAATAAATCGTGACGGGTAGAGGTCGCCCCGACTGATGGTATCACAAAAGTTCAGTGAAGCTGACAGGCCTGCGTGAATGCTGATTATTGAAAGCCCGTTCTGCGTCCCGCTTCCCTTCCCCACCCCTCACCCATCTCCTTATTGTCTCCACTGTGAGAGTGAACCCTGAAGACGACATTGAAAAAAGCTATTAATCACTGGTAAGGGATTATATGACGGAACGACCCTCACTACTCAGCTCCCCTCTTGTCAGAAGTGAAAAGGACAGGTGGTATTCTTTTTGTCTTATCGTTATAAGCGATTTTGCAATATCGAAATTTCACGCCTTCAACAACTTCCGTCGGCAGTTATGACTCCAACAAGAACGAAATTTCTACAAAGTACTTTATTAAGAGAGTTACACACAATTCATCAGATGATAGTTACATGTTGTGCAACCTCGCATCGAGGATCTTCAGCTCTAACCTATCTGCTCAACTC